AATTTATTTATTTACTGGATCTGCTATAATATAAGCCTAACAGTAAGTGTACAAATCTTAAAAACTAAATTACGAACATGATAGCTCGAGTTTTTTAACTCTGAGCCCATTTCAAACTATTTGTTGAAACAGTCCACATCGGATCACGACCGATTTTTCAGATTTGATATTTTGGGTCACAAATTTGTCCAAAATATGATTTGGGAGCGTTAAATTGTAACAAAAATCGGAAAACTTATGGGAATGAATATTTAATTCTCAAATAAAATACCATCAATGTGATATGGTCATGAAAGGTATAAAGATGGCAAGGCTTGTTTTAATTTTCATTTCTTTTCCTTTCTTCAATAAAATTCAATTTTATAGAATCAAAATTTGTATCAATTATAATTTTAAAAAATTCAATGTAGCAAAAAAATATAATGTTCAATGCATTTTTTAGTCCAAAATATTTAGCACAACATTTTCAATTATAAAGTGTTTTTTACTGAAAAAGAGCGTTGTCCGTCGCAAACAACTACTTTTTTCCATCTGTGTGGTAATTTTCGAATACCATCTATGAAAATTAAAGAGACTTCTCTGTCCTCGATCCAATCATTGAGCCATTTTTCAATTTCTTCTTCAAAGACCTCAGCCGATGATCCCCTCCACCCCTCCAAATCGTTTTGCATTCATCTAAAACAACAGTAGTCGGAAGGAGCAAGGCCTTGGAAATACGGCCTTCACTTAAGCGTTTTCGAATAGTTTTTGATCGTTTCATCCTCGTAGAACCGAACGTTGTCATGTTGCAAAATCACCTTGTCATACCTTTCGGTCGTTTTGTGGCCGCTTTTAACGCAATGCACTTTTTGAACGCATTAGTTGTAGTAGAGGACGTTTCGCATTAATGGTTTTGCCTGGTGTCTTTGTCTTCGACGCTAAAATCCCCAATCTCGAAGTCTCAAAATCACTCTCTCTATGACTTATCAGTTAGCGCAGTTTCACCATAAGCCTCCACAAAAATTCGATGTGTTTCAGCTGCACTTTTCTTCCAATTCAAAAAGAAAATCAAAAATTCCCACAAATCCATTTATATTATAAATAAATGGTACTTTGTAACCGCTCAAGGGATTTTCGGCCGATCTCCTCCTCCAATTTGGGGTAAGCGGCCAATGAATTTTTACGAGGAGCTTTTATTTAATGTCAGAAATACAGAAATGTCGATCCATGACTCGAACTCTGATCTTCGGAATGGCAGTATGCAATGCTACCCGCTCGGCTATTGCGTCCAGAAGTTATCAAAAATCATATTATTAAAAGTAATGTAAAATTCGATACATAGTTTTCTATCTGTTTTCTATTTTCCCATCTGATGTTTTTAGAAATATAATTAGAATTTTACTAAATTGTTTTGAATCGAAATCTTAAGTTTCGAAATGCAGCGCCTTTTGAACAGATATTGGGTTGTCCCAAGAGAAACCGTCGATTTTTCATAAAGACGGCTGTGACAATTTTTTAAAACCACTTTTGACTATTTAACTCTTTATTTTTCTTTTTACAGTTATAAACAATCACTTTTAGCTTGATTTAGAAAAAAAAGTAAGAGTAAGTTTTGTTTGTAGTTGTCACGTGCGACAGAAGTTTAAATACAACCAAGTTCTCTAGAAATAAAGTACCGTTATATTCAATGATTTAGCAACTTATACACATTTATCCGGTATTAGATGCGACTTTGACAGCAAATGACAGTGAATGCAAAGTAAAAAAAAAACCTTGATGACAAGAATAGAAACCTTACCGAGATATAGGAAAATATCTTGATAATCTGTTCGAAAGTAAAATCCTACAAATCTGTTGGAAATATGACAAGATCTAGGCATCCAAGGAAGCTCTTCTGGCGAGATGTTAGTTTTATCACCAGGAAAGTGACAAGAATCCTAAAATAAGTGCTCCAAAGATAGCCGATAGCATCGCTAACGGGAAGATAGCTATCGAAGCAGAGTTCCACGTAAAAAGCCTCTAATATCTGAGAAAAATAACCAACTTGGTCTTTAATTTGTAAATAAATACAAGAATAGGGATAAATTCTTTTACGGGCGCATCGAAATTTAACGTCTTCGGAATCGTTGGGTGCGTAAAAATTTGGCGTAAAGCAATGACCGGTCTTCAAACCCAAAATTTAATACAAAGCGTTAAGCACGGTGAGGGTAGCGTCGCGGTTTGGGGAGCGATTGGAGCAACTGACGTAGAACACTTAACGTTTATCGATGGAATAATGAGCAGATATGTTTACAAAGGTATTTTGAATCTATATAGGCAGTCTTCCGTGAATTCCTTAGGCCTCGGAAGCTCGCAGATATTTCAGCAAGACAACGGACCGAACCATACAGCGGGATTGGGGAAGGAATGACTATTGTATTATGCTCCCCTTCAGCTTTATAGTCCGCCGAAATCATCAGACTTGAACCCCAATGAACATATTTGGGAGTTATTGGCACGAAAAAGTACTATGGCGGCTTCAACCAGCAAATAAGCCTTGAAAGTATATCTGTAACTGCGCCATCGGAAATAGAAAATTTGGTTATATCTACCCACGTCGTCTAAAGGCAGTTATAGAAGCATGTGGTAGGCCAACAAAACATTGAAATTGTTTTAAACCCCTTTATTTTTAGTTTAATTTATGCAAAATATGAAATAATATGTATTGCATTTAACTTTTATTCGGCGTGATTACATGTTTTTAATGAATTTACCGTTATTTACGCGAATTTGAGTATTTTTTTGGATTGCATTGTTGATTAATTATCTACTTCAAATAAACTGCATTCTTACATTTACTTTAAAATGCTTCATTTTAATAAAAAGTGGAATTTTATTGGTGTATTTAAACTTTTTTCTTTGACTGTAACTGAGCATGAGATTGGAGAGAAGTTAAATATACCAAAATCAACCGTTCATAATCATATACGACGTCTCAAGCTGGTAAATCGATCTCGATATTTGGGTACCACATGACTTGAAAGAAATTCCTTTGAGAACCCGCATCGACGCTTGTGGTATGTATCTTAAACCCAATGAATATGATCTGTTTTTGAAGGAAATCATAACTAGGGATGAAAAATGTATTATTTACAATAATGTCAATCGAAAACGATCATGGTCCAAGCCAGAAGAAGCGCCACAAATCACTTCACTTCAAAGGCTAATATTCCACAAAAGAAGGTCATGCAGTCAGTTTGATGGGATTGGAAGGTTGAAGCATATTTTAAGCTGCTTCCAAGAAACCAAACTATTAATTCGAATGTCTACTGTTTAAAACTCGACAAATTGAAAACTTCCATGAACGAGAATCGGTCAAGGTGTCATATTCCACCAGGACAATGCTAGACCGCACACATCACACCAAAAACAGAGAGAGCTTGGCTGAGAACTGTTGATGCATCTACCGTACTTTGCACCGTCAGATTAGCATTTCTTTCAATTCCTTGCAAAATTTATTAAATAGCAAAACTTTTGAAAATGACGAGGATATAATATCACACTTGATTCAGTTTTTTTAGCAGATAAAGGTGAGAAGTGCTATGAGCGTGGAATAATGATGTTGCCGGAAAAATGGCGAAAGGACAACCAAGAAAATGAAAATTACATAATTACTTAAAGTTAATTATAAATCTAAAAAAAAAGTATTTACTTTCTTTTAAAAAAATCGACGGCTAAGACAATTCATTAACGCTCATTACGCTAAATTATTAATAAAACAAATGTTATTCTCATCAAGTATTCTGCGTATCTGGTGGGAATTACGCAAAATAAACATGGAAGAACGCATTTACATTACTACGAATTAAATTCTATATTTTTCTTAATTATTTTCTTTTTGTTTTCAGTTTCTTCTTTCTCTTATTCTTCTTATGTTTCTTCCTTTATGTCACAATTAATCCGCCATTGGAAGTGTTACTGCCACGCACGCCTTTCAATTCAATTCAATTGTAAGCAAAGTTCAACATTTAAATATTACAACAAAGAATAATAAAATAATTCAAACGCATCGCCTTGTTTTAAGACAATAAAGACCCGCTGCCAGTCGGCCGAGCAATGCCCCAAAAGTAAGAGAAATACCAAACAGAAATGTATTCAAGTACATACATACATACATGTATATATACATATATATATATATGCAAAGTAAATATATGCCGGGTATTGAGGTGTAAAAATGTAAAAAATGGGGAAACACAATTGTTTGTTTTGCGGCCGCGTGTCACTTTGAATACTATTTATTTTTAGATGCACCTCTTGGCTGTGTTTGCATTTGCCGTAAATCACATGAAATGGGATTGATAATGAGAAGAAGCAGCACATCAATGAGACTGCTGTTGAAAAATGCAAACATATCAGTGACAGTAGCGACAATGGATGGTGCGCCTACTGATAAGCTGTTGACAAGACAACAAATGCTGATACATATATGTATGTATGTATGTATATGTATATGTACATATGTATGCGAGTAAGCTGCAAATGTCTAGTGAGTGCTAAACGGCCATAATGAAGCGAAGACAACAAAAATATCAACAAATAATAAATATATACATACATATGTATGTTTGTGTGTTTGTATACACGCATAAATATTCTACCGGCCAAATTGTTATTCATCCAACTGTTTGTCTCACAAACTGTCCGCCTGCCCTTGTGTCCATCGCTCAAACGTTCTGTCAATGCGTGCGTCCGTCTTTCAGTCTGTCCGTCCGGCCATTTCATAGCTTGCTAGTCCGCTAGGCTTGCATATCAGCAAACGCCTTTGCCGCCGCAATTAATATTATCACTTATTTTGAATAATATGTAAGCATTTCGAATATGTATGTATGTATGTATGCATGTTTTTCAACTGAAAAATAACAAAGCAACTCGCTGCCTTTTTTCTTACTTTCTAGTAGTACATATGTATATGTATGCCTAAATATTTATATGTATGTATTTATTATTTGCATAAATCATGTTTCACAATATTCACTCACTTTGTTAAAATTCCATTAGAAATCAGTTTTTTGTTTCTATTTCTTCACCGAAACAAATTCACTTTTAATTCACACTTTTCAAATTCAATTGTTGCACCCGAGGAAAATTCATAATGGCGCTCTAAGCCGTTTCCGTTTCAACTCTGTGTGTGTGAATGCACGCACACACACACAAAAAAACAAACAGACGCACAAGCTCAAAAGCTTACGCATGAATGCACACCTTTGAATGTTATGCCACTCAAACCGAGCACACTCACACGCACCCATACACGCATATGTGAATATAATATTTTTATATATGCGAGTTGCACTTCAACGATTTATGCCACAATAATTAGACAAATACTAACCATCACTAGTTACATTCAATAATTCGACCGTTATAATATTTTTTTCTTTTCGTTTCCGCTTTTCCGTTTTATCAACCGTCACAATCGGATGCTTGAACTCAACTGAAATTCGTTGAAAAGATGCTGTAAGCTCGTGGCCGCGAAAGGCTCATCGTATTCCTCGACGTCGCTGCTACTGTGGCCGCTGTTGACATCGATTTTGCTGCTATGTTGCTGTTAATAACTTCTGTTGTACCAGTTGTACAGATAGGAGGCTGTCAAAGCCGACTGATAACATGCGTGCATGTATGTATGTGTATGTATATTGTGTACTTGGTGATGCTAATGCTGATAATTGTATGCCAGTAGTTGGGAAAATACCACCACTGGTGATGCAATGGAGCTAACAGACAATCGTTAAGGCTCAGCTGTTGCAAAATGTTAGAACTCGCTGAAGCAAAGACAGAAATGTAAGCCTTACGAAAGCGCAAGTGCAAAGGTTTTTATGAAACAGTTATACTATACAAGCAATACTACATGATTACACTGCATATATGATACATATATAAATACGTCTATATATAAATGATGGGCCAACTAACATTTGCTTTTTCAACTACAGCTTTTTTGAGCTGTGACATTTTCAATCGCATTTCCGATGTGTCACAGTTTCAGAACGAGGTTCTCGGTTTCTGCAGTAGTTGAGGCAGTTTGTGAATCAAATTGTGCAGCGAGTTCGCCAAACCGATTCGTTATTGGATCAAACAACTCGCGTACGTGATCCTCTAGTGTTTTCAGAGGTTTAAGAACTGAAGCCGGTTGACAATGCCTAGCGGCCAATGACCTCTCGCATTTGGGGCTCAGAAAACCCACACATAACCACGGAAAAGTCATTACATTCTATGAGCGACTGTTTAGAGCGGCATGTAGACCGTTGGCAATATTGGTTCGGTTTTCTTCGAGAACGAGGAAGGAGTCGATCCCTACCGTGTCTCGCTCAGATACCATTTTTTCTGGATGAGCCGTTAACTCTCAGTGTTTCATTCATGAATCGAAAATCTGTTACAAAATTTGGTCAACAGAAAGAACTAAATCAGTATCTTCAAGGCTAGAAGCAACAGCCTTAGGAATGAAGTGGTGTTCTTTCATTAACCAGAATGTTGATGTAGTTGTTGTTGTTTATCTGAAAAGATGTATTCCTTAAAATGAAAAAAAAAAAACATTTTGCAACCAAAATTAAAACTTTCATATAAAGAGAGTGGAGCTCCTCTTCTTTCTCTATTTCTACCAGCGGGAAATGCATTGAAAATCCTTAGAGGTGAGAACTTTTCCCCTATCTAGTGTATGATTTGTCTCTTGGACTAAATCTGTGTTTCCGGTCAGGGATGGATTTTACGTTTATCCTTCAGGCGTTCCCTCGGTTGGTTGCACGGGAGGTGGGTAACGCTGGGTTCAAAAAAATTCTTTCGGAAACAGTGTATCGCGACTCAGCCACAGTGTGGCACCACAGTAGAAGAATTCCTCACCAAGGATCCCAATCTGTCTCTGAATATTCTGCTCGTGGAAACCGAACATAGTGGCGCCGTCACTAAAATCATCATTTCTCCCGCTATCTCTCCTTTTCCCAGTAGCGAAGAGGCGAGACCACAACCCCGACATGGCTATTGACCCTTTGCGAAAGCTGTCCTGCAAGCACTTGATCTGTCAATCTGTCTCGCAGGGTCAATCAGGCAATTCTTCGGTCTCCTCATTACCGCCTGTGTTGAAGTTGTGGGACATGAATTTCTGAGTGGCGGACAATCATAGGTAGAATTTCGATGTTGAAGCCCCAAACATTAAGCAAGAGGCTGTATAAGAAGTGGAGTAGTTTAGTTTATATATTTCCTAACCTTCCCCACCACAAGTCACTGTGAGGTCACATTCAACATTCGCCTAAATTCATTCACACGGCATATGACTGTGATTGCCAAGAAAGTAAAGAGTCAAGACAAAAAAAATCGCTGGCCAGTTACACCTAGGTTTAAGTAACGGAATATTTGTCGCCACTTCGAAGGCAATCCATTATTAATTACGCTGCATCGAAACACCTCCAAAGTTTTGTACATCATCAAAACTACCCATAGTAGACAGAGATATGAAGTTGCCCCGCTAGCTAGTGGTCCGCAATTAAGGTCTGGATATTGAAATATACTCAACTCATATTTATCCAGATTGACCCCGACATTATTACCGTTTGTCCTGCCCCACCACATTGCATGTCTACTAAAGACTACTACTACGACTACTACACATCTACAACTCTCTACTCACGTCCGAACCTATTGAAAAAGCTCGCTTTCAGAACCTCCAGGTAGATAACCTTAGACTTAGAAAGTCGAGACAACAACAAGAACAACAATAACATAGCTCACGATATGTATAATCTCGTTTCTCGATGAAACATATACGAAAGTCTTGTGAAATAAAGGGTGTGTTTTAGACATGTGGTAATCAAGGAAAACTAAAACATTACGTCCAAGAATTTAGCTTTATTATGAAGATAAGTAAGCCTATTTTCGACCACTGAGGCCGTTTGTCCTCAATAACGAATGGAATATTCTCTTTTAAGCCATCAATCGTCTCGTAGACGAGTCCAGTGGTTTTAAATCGCAAGATCTTTGCAGGCCGTGACGCGATATTATTCACTAGCCAAAAGTTTCCTTTTGCTTCCATTTGGCTTCTGGATTATCACCACTTGCACACAAATGCGACAAATTTTGTTTATTAACGTACGCATTCAATCAAAAGTGAGTTCATTGCAGGATCCATCTAATTTTGGTATCATTCAACGAACGAGGGACTACCATTTACTTTATCCGCCTTGAAGTATGTAACGTTTACATACATTTATAACAGAACGGAGCTAACAGGTTGCAGCAGAGAATATTAATAACACTGTTATGTACAAGTAATTAGTTGTTTTGGTTGCATTTATAAGAAATCTCCTTCTACCACTTCCAAAGTAAATTCAGGCTACATACTTGCTACATGCATACAATATTTAGTTCAACATGAAGTAATTGAAGAAAAATAAATTTATTAACCAATTTTTGTCTTTCCCACATATATTAATGTAAATTCAAATTAAAAAAAAAATACTCCAAATCCACATAGCAGCTAATTCATTTTTAAACATATTCTGGACCAGAACCACCATTCACAATTGTATAAGATGACATCTGTCAAACCTAACCTCAATGTAATAAACACAGTTGTCGCTCTCCATATTATTTCCAACAACACTAGGATGCAGTAAAATTTGGGCTTAATTGTTCACAAAAGGGGTTTTACTTTTCTATTTATGGTATATTTGTCATACAGTTGTTCAATATTTTCCGAGAAACAAACAGTGCAATGGCTCACCAATGCGAAACACCGGGTTGCGGCAAGGAAGCCACTCTACAGTGTCCAACATGCTTAAAATTGCGTATACCCGGCTCGTACTTTTGCTCACAGCCCTGCTTTAAAGGCTTCTGGAAAGAACACAAAGTGATACATGCTTTGGCTGGTATGTTTTGTCATTATAATTATTATAATAATTCCTTTTTAACAAAAATCAAATTTGCTATTGCATAATGTTAATTATTTAGAGGGTGTAGGCAAACCACAAGTGGATAACTGTGAAGCGGGTTTCAATCCTTGGCCTACTTATCGTTTCACTGGTAAGTTGCGGCCATATCCACAAACTCCTAAACGTCATGTGCCGGAGAGCATCGAGCGAACCGATTATGCAGATCATCCCGCAGGACGTGCTGCCTCAGAGGAAGCGATGCGTGGAAACACATCTATTAAAGTGTTGGATGATGATGAAATTGAGGCAATGCGTGTGGCAGGTAGACTCGGTAGAGAATGTTTAGATGAAGCTGGCAAGGCTGTTGATGTTGGTGTGACCACTGATGAGTTAGATCGCCTTGTACATGAAGCGGCCATTGAACGTGATTGTTATCCTTCACCATTGAACTACTACAATTTTCCCAAATCTTGTTGTACTTCAGTAAATGAAGTAATTTGCCACGGGATACCGGATTTGCGCCCATTACAAGACGGAGATATATGCAATATCGATGTGACTGTATACCATCATGGTTTTCATGGTGATCTCAATGAAACTTTCTTTGTGGGTAATGTTTCGGATAAGCACAAAAAGTTAGTTCGCATAACTTATGAATCGCTTTGTAAAGCCATAGAGTTGGTGAGGTAAGAAAAATAACAGCACAGTATAAAGCAAATAATTATTGAAATTTATTTTTATCAGGCCCGGTGTAAAATATCGTGAAATCGGTAATGTCATACAAAAGCATGTTGCGCCACATGGCTTCAGTGTTGTTAAAAGCTACTGTGGACATGGTATACATAGACTTTTCCACACCGCACCCAATGTGCCTCACTATGCCAGTAAGTAAAATAATGTATACACTCTACACTACACAGTAGTTACTGAACTTTGACATTCCAGAAAACTCGGCAGTTGGTGTCATGAAAGCTGGACATTGCTTTACAATCGAGCCCATGATATCTGAAGGTGTATCGAAAAATGAACAATGGCCCGATAATTGGACTGCTGTGACCGGTGACGGTCTTTATTCGGCACAATTTGAACAAACCCTTTTGGTAACCGATAATGGTTGTGAAATTCTAACACGTCGCCGGGAGAATAATGGTCAACCATGGTTTATGGACAAATTGTAGAACACATGTGGGAAAAATTCAACCAGCCACAATATATGCCAATACTTATCGAATGCTGACACAAACATACACTACCACCAAAAAGAACGCTCTGTTAAAGTGTGCCCGTTACGAGTACCATTTTATGCCCTTTTTTCATTCGTTGAAAGTTTATAATTTTACAAACAGTATGTTTTTACTTACAATGTAATGATCATTATATATTATATTAAATAATCGTTGCTACATAGTTTTGAGTTAATTTACATTACACTAATACTAAAAATATTCTAGAGAGGGCTAATTCCGATCCGTGGGCTTACTTTTCCAATGGTGCGTAATTTAGCAATTTTTCAATCAAGTCTACATGTCCTAAGAGCATGCGACGGCAACAATACCGCTTCAGGCCAAGTGCATCCAGGGCATCACTATAACAAATGAAAAATTAATTCAAGAATAATCGACGGCAAACATCTGTAGCGTGTTGTACTTACCCTTCCGTGTATTCCGCTTGTAATAGGCCCAAATATGACTCCCATTTATTGCCAATAACTTTGCCGCACGTAAAACAACGAATAGGAATAATCATTTTAATAAAATATATTTAATTATCCAAATAATAAATTATTTTGCACACAACAAGTACAATTTCAATTAAATTCACGCCAATGCGAAACGAGTAATATTTGCATGCTTCTTTTTCAATTATATCTATTCACAATCAATCAAGGTCCATTCTCAATAATCACATGTGAGTTACCTGAATTTGGTTTATTTACCTGGATAATGGCACAAACTCTGTTACGTGAGCGGATACGCAGTAACCAATTTTTTCTGAACCAGGTTTTTTTAACCCACAAATCCAGTCAGTCAGTTAGAGAGCTCAATTTTGACATCTCTTTGCTTGTTTACTTTTGCTGACATTTCTCACCGAACAGAGTTATATTATTGTACCTACATTTTCATGCATAAGAGCCATTCGAACAGCTGTTCCTGTTCATAATCTTAAGTATGTGAAAAATATTACATTACGCAATATAATATATAGTGTTGGTCAACCGCTGCTAATGATTTTATTCATCTTTTTATTTAAATTTTTAAGGACTTCCGATTTTATTCTTGAGTGATGACTCTGGTCGATCTTGGAAACACTCATACATCATATAAAGTTAGCTAACTGCTCTGAACCCCTCATGCGCCGTGATACTTCTACACAAAGCAAATGCGGATGTAGCAGCTGTGGTGAAATTGCAGAAAACTTCACAAGACTTCTTCACAGGATGTAAATAAAGGTCCATATCGCTACATGACTGGCGGATACAAGACATTCGTACATACTACATCGAACGATTTAAATTAATACGGTCAATGCAAGACAGGGAAATTTAGATATATAGAGTAAATTTATGGCCAGTACATTTCAATTTTTACATTTAATATTCTCTGTTAACGATTTAGGCTACTCTCTTAACGATTTAATATTCTCTGTTAATGTTTTAACATTCTCTGTTAAAGATTTAACATTCTGTAGTAACGTTTTAGCCTTCTCTGTTCATTGTTTTACATTCTCTGTTAAGGATTTAATATTCTCTGTTAAGAATTCAACATTCTGTAGTAACGTTTTAACATTCTCTGTTCATGGTTTAATATTCTCTGTTAACGACTTAATATTCTCTGTTAATGATTTAACATTCTCCGTTAAGGATTTAACACTCTCTGTTAAGGATTTAAAATTCACTGTTAACGATTTAGCATTCTCCGTTTAGGATTTAACTTTCTCTGTTAAGGATTTAATATTCTCTGTTAAGGACGTAAAATTCTCTGTTAAAAACTAAATGAAATTTATTTTGATTATTACTTAAACGACAACATTTCCAAATGTTTCAACCTAAACGATTGAAAGTATTTAATTAAAGTGAAATTTAACATATTATCAAGTCAATGTTTGTCAACGGATACCAGAAGAATGCCGGTATTCATTGCAAAAAGTAACAGCCCGGATAGAGTTTGTGCGAAACATTTAATGGTATACAAATGGCCAACACATATAACCTTCCGTATTAGGATCAACCTCGATTTTGAAGAATTCTCGCAATAAAGTAATACAAAAGTAATATTGTAACGGAATTTAACCAATATATGATACAAATATGTATGGATGAAAAAAATTAAACAAAAATCTGAATAAAATTTTAAATATATCCAAATTTAATTATTTATTGCTTTCGATAAAGTTGAATTACATTTACATATGTTAAAAAGTATAAGCATACATGCATTTGTAACATTAAACTATTATTTAAAATTTTTAAATACAATTTAAATTGCATATACTCGTATGTATGTATCTATGTGTGTATTTATAATATTTTTCGAAATTTATTTATAGACTCTAGTTTACAATTAGCTTCTATTTTATTTCAGACTTCTTCAGTTCTCACTGTATACTCAGTCAATTCTCACTCCGGCTATGAAAGTATGTTTGTATGTGTTTGTATATATACTTCATATAAAAATATTGAGCATGACAAATTGACAAAAAGAAAAATGCAACAGCATATTGCACTTTTAATTCCAGTTTTTTTTTTTTGATTTTTATAAAAACAAAAATATTTAATAGTATGAAAATGTGTAGACGAAAAATAAACAAAATAGTCTGTAAGTGTAATGAAATGTTTATTTTATTCATGATTCTTAACTTCAATTAAAATATTTTCAACTATAACTCTATGAGATATATTAAAATAAATTAATTGTTTTACTTAACATAGTATAGTATAGTATAGTATTTTGGCATATATTGGTGAACTATACATAAATACGAAAAATGTTCTTTCGATACAAATCACTTTAAATAAGCACCAAGCAGTTATCGATTTTTAAGCATAAATCGTTCGACTAATAATAAAATTTAAACATTATTAACATAGTTTTGTTTTTCTTCTCGTAATCACATATATATAATTTTTTCGAATTACATAAATTTATGTATATACTAAAGTATTCAGTATTATCAATTTAATAACCATTTATGTATATATAAATGCATACATATGTCTATATTCGTATGCATAACATAGATACATATATGTGTACATATAGTAAAGGTAAATAAATAAGTATTTATTTTCCATATTGCAGTTATTTCTAACTAAGTTCTTGAGACTCGTGTATTCGTCTTCATACATAATTTTATAATATTGCCATTGGTTGCCTCACAACATTCTCAGCCTTTCACTTTCCAAACATAACACTAACGGGTTCGAACAATAACAAAACCAGCAGATTCCAGCACTTACGGTATTCTTTTGTACAATTATTCAATACATACAATGTCTTTTACTCCTAAACCTCTCTTAACTACAGCTAAACTAAAGCTCCAGCGCGTAATATCATCCCTGGTTTCTTAGCTGCTACTTCGTTGACGTGGAAATTTATTTCTTTTACCTAAAATACGCATCAACTGCTTGGACATGTAATACGGTTTCTCCGGTGAGCCATCATTGCGTTCACAATCTTCCAAAAAGCACAGGAAGAGCGTATCCACAGCCATCGAATAGACGCCAAAGAACACGGTTGTCATAATGAAGGTAGTTATCACAACCAGTGTAACCGGTACCGCGTTGTAGTGCAATTGTATAAGATGTGGACTGTGCACCAAAAAGTAATAGGTACCCACACCGGCTGCACCTGTTAGTAGCAGTTTCGATAGGAAGAAGAGAAAATCGGTGACTTTATCAACGGCGATGACACGTAAAAAGTTGCGCATTATCAAATTGAATGCATCCTTGGCGCTGGCGCAGAAACTTTTGCCGTGTATGGCACACATGATGTACGCGTTGCGATTGAGGAAGCGTAAGAAGGTCTCGAGTAGCCAGAAAAAGAATTTCATAAAGCAGAGTATGGCGCGTGTGACGGCGTTATCGTATTTTTTAAGCTTCGAATCGAGATATTCCAACGCCACGCGTATCATGCGACATACGGCAAGTATTAGTGCGCCGAACGCCAATGTGCCGAGATGATAGAATATGGTTTGACGGAATGCGCGTCCGAGCGTAAAGAATGGCACATCACGCTTCTTATATGTCCAATACCAAGTGGCGAATGTTAGCGCCAACACCATGTCACTGAAGGCTGCTATGAAGAATGTTAACCAAAAGAAGCCGAAAACATTGTAACATATGGACCATGTAACAAATGGTGGATGTTCGATTTCAGCAAAACTGCAGGTCGTGCGCGTACAAGGTACACGTTGAAGCAGAAATTCATTAACATAACAGTTTTGTTCAAAAATTTTCGGATCACAACGTGCACCCACTTTATATTCAATAGCTTGCCCGGTACAGACGCAATTCTCTGTATAAACACCAGTCGCGCTGTTGCTGTCCAATTGACGTATCATGCGGAATGAGGGTTCGCCAATCGAACCCAGATAAAGTCCAACTGCAATAACATATACAACAGCTAAAACGAAGAGTATCCAAGAGAAAATCGGAAAGAAGACAGTAGAGATGATGCTTGAGACCGCTTTGCTGCCCTCCTTTGTCAATGCAATGGCTATGCTGATCCGCGTACGCAACACAATAACCGTAAGTAGTATAACGACGAAAGCGATGCTTAGAAAAATGCTTAAGTACAACCATGTACTAGACTTCTGCAACACATTCGTTACCGCCGCCTCCAAGGTAATGGAGTGATTGGGCACAGTAGCGGTTTGCTGCCAAAAACGATACTCTTTCACCGTGTAATAGATGCCGACTCCAAGACCGACTAACACACCCAGTATGGATAACCAAAGAAAGGGTGCAGCGAACCAGCGCATCAGGGCGATCAAAATTAACGAAGCGACCAGAGTGCACATTAGCGCCATTAACACCACGTACCAGGAGTTTATAATATCTTCTACTATTTCCTCTCCCAGCTGTTGGCTATCATGCGTACCGTTATAGAAATGTGCCACCATGTTGCCAACTAACTTAGCCAAACGCGTATCAGTCTGTCGCACCTTCTGTTTGATGGTTTCAGCTTGTTCGGTACGACGACGACATTGTATAATGGGTTCCTCAGCAAGTGCTTGCTGCTTTTTAACTGCTGGCGGCTCGGGTATTGTTGTTAAGGCCAAAGCTTCGAACTGCATTTGCGTTAATTGTGATTTGTCGGCCACCAAGGCATCAAGTAGGCCGCGGCTATCATTCGCATTGGGACTGGCGTTTTGAGATCCACTAGAAGTGCGTTTGCTCCGTGGCAATAAAAAGGACGGTAAACGTTCACAAACTTCTGGTGAGAATTCCCACATGCACCGATTCAAAAATGGCGCACTCTTTATATACAAACGTGCACAACGTTCCTGGTCGATGGCTCTTTGCATGTCATCAATAGTATTCAGCTTATTCTTATCATTATCAGTCAGGCAAATCATGCGTTTCTTTAATTCGCCAAATGGAAGCGAATTCTTCATTTTATCCCAGAAGAAATTTTCTGTAGGACAACTTTCAACACAAACTTGCGGTGTGGGACAGCCCGTCAATGGTACAACGGGATCAATACATTTACCCAAATCGAAAAAAAATAAATATTTTTTATCCAATACCGATGAATCGATGCCGCATTTGCGATTGAATGAGTCAGTTGGCACAACCAATTTATTGAGATCTCCATTACGCACGGCGTACTGGGCGATAAAGCCCCAACCAGCTAAGAAAAGTATGAAAATCAGCAGGCAGGGCAAATCTGTGCATCTCCTATTACGCCATTCCGGTCCACGAAAATTACGGTCATATGGCATAGGTCGGCCATATTTTTCTATGAGTTCACGATCTTCGGCCATCGCTCACCACTTTGGCTGTCGTACAAAAATAATGGAACGATTTCTTTACGATGGGTAAATCACTTTATCTGGAAGATCTGAAATTAAGCAAAAAAAAAAAAAACCAAAAATAAAAATTAAAATTATTTATACTTTATTTTGTTTAAGATTTATGGCGTTTAAATACTACATACTATAAGCATACTCGAATATATATGTATGTATACTTATATTATAATTTACTAGCCTTATTTAAATACTTGATACTTTGCTCATACCGTCCACCTATACGTATGTGAAACTAACTTAATTAAAGCGATAACGTAATCCACTGTCAAATGCGTTTACATACATACGTATGTACGTATCTACCAGGGCAAGGCATATGCGCGTGCACCGCTTACAAAGAAAATACTCGTATTTAACAAAATAAATTCATTATCTCAATAAATAAACAAAAAGTATCTATCTGCATACCAGCAACTTCTTTATTTATTAATTGTTTTCTCGGATTTATATGTACATTTGTATGTTATTTTGAAGTGCGAAGTTCTCCAATGTTATGTGTAAATAAACTCGATTAATTATATTTTTAAATGGAATGATGCTTCTGGATCAGTGGGTGTAAAATTATCCCAAGCATTTTATTTCATTTTTTTTTTCATTGTCAATAATATAGGACTCGCATGTATGATTAATTTTAACGAGGGAAGTGAGATTGATAGATGTTTATAAATTAATAAATTTATTATCCATATATTCCTCTATTTTTTTATATTAGGAGATGTGAAGTTGTTGCGTTCGATGTTGCTGACTTTCATAGCTTAGCCAGCGAAATTTCGCTCAAAGCGGTTAATTTTGTTACAATTTTTTTTGTTATTTTTTTTATTTATCAATCAATTTTGATTATATTATTTTTTTAATTCAATTTTTATTTTATTGTTTTTTTTTTTAATTTAAATTAATTCAATTTTTATTTTATTTAATTTTTTTTTTTAATTTAAATTAATTTAATTTTTATTTTATTATTTTGTTATTTATTTATAATAATTTATTTTTTATTTTATTTTATATTATTTTCTTTCATCTGCCTTTTTTATTTCAAATTTATACCGAACGAGTTAGAATGAGGTGATTGAGGTGATTGAGGTGATTTAGCTATGTCAAACTAGTTCCCTCGGTTTTTGAGATATTTCAACACAGCTTGGTACACAAAAGCACTGGTAAATTTGAACCACTGTAGCATATGTACTATAGATTTTTGTCGATTTGTCGAAAAAGCATCTAAATTTCGTATTCCGATCTCATTAGACCTTGGTGCTGAAAACTACGACGACGATTATAATATGCCGCTCCTATAAACAGATATTTTCCGGTAGGAGAAATTTGGTATTATACATTATATATTTGTATTATATATACTATATATACATTGTTACGGAAAGTTATCGAATTCGGAAATCTTTATATGGGCAGTAATATTTAATCCAAAAATGGAATACCATAAATTTTATATGATCACAACTTCGGTTATTCTTGTTTCATTTTATTTTATAATAATTTTATTTTTTTTAATTTTTTATTTTACTTTATTTAATATAGTTTAAGTATTTTATTCAATTTTGTTTCAATTTATTCAATTTTATTTTATCTAATTTTGTTTTATTTTATTTTACTTTATTTCATCTTTTGTTATTATTTTTATACTATTCTGTTATTATTTTGTTATTATTTTTTTTTAATTTTTTGTTTTGTTTTATTTTATTTTATTTTATTTTATTTTATTTTATTTTATTTTATTTTATTTTATTTTATTTTATTTTATTTTATTTTATTTTATTTTATTTTATTTTATTTTATTTTATTTTATTTTATTTTATTTTATTTTATTTTATTTTATTTTATTTTATTTTATTTTAATTTAATTTTATTTTAATTTAATTTAATTTATTTTATTATTTTATTTTATTATTTTATTTTATTTTTAATTTTTTTTATAATACTTTATTTTGTTTTGTTTAAATTTATTTTCTTTTATTATATTTATTTTTGAGATTTTTAATTATTTTCCATTTTCATTTTGCGCCGACTAGTTTGGCACAAAAACTGTAGAATCAGCTTGAATTTCCTTGAATTATGAGCTGATATCGAAAACCCAAAAATGCAATACATATGTATGTTTGAAGCAAAAAAGCAATATATAATACATATATGAACCAATATGTATGTATGTATATAAGCATGGGCATGAACAATTAAAAGACTAGCAGACACCTTTGTTCAAAGTGAGTAAACTCTTTGGCACAAGGTGAAATATCGGACGTGTTCGTTGTCAGTGCATACGAATATATGAACATACATATATATATATATATGCAACCAAAAATCGACAAGTACATAAAAAGGCCTACAACTGAAACAGTCAATGCCCAATTTGGAATGTTATAAATGCTCGTACATAGTTAAACGACAAAAATGACATTCGCAACGCACATTAAAGGAATCACAGTTTTTGTCGACATGTTCACCTTTATGTGCCGCCACCAGGTGTAACTAGTGGAATGTTTGTGAGGAATGTGCAAGTAGAGTAAAAAAACCGGCATAATACGGTTATACTGAAAAAAGAATCAACTTCCTTATTGTTTTTCAGCAGCAATTATAACTATATATATATATATATATATATATATATATATGTAAGTACGTAGATAACAACAGAGACATATATTTTAATTCATGAGGTCATGATTAAGCTAGGTTATCGCTAAGCTGGCTTCCATTACTGAAAACCAACCACAATTTAATGAGAAAAATATATTTGTATATACATACATATACTAGGTGCACCCTGTAACGCTTCACTGTTGCAAATACTAAATGATAATTTTGTTTACTCAATATTTGTGGGTATCCAAAAATTTTTGGTTTTGCCATTGGCATCGCATATATGTATAAAGGTTATCAGCTTTGTCCTACCCCAGAACATGTGCGCAGCAATCCGTATCTGAATGTAGACCACACAATTCCAAAGATTGACACTGAGCTTTGCTGATAGTGATTGCAAACGCAACAACTGGAACTGTTGTCGCTCGAATTGTAAGGGAGTATCGGACGGAATGATAGGCGTTCGAGGAATGAGGACATCTTCACCTTTGAAAGGTCCGGGCAAAGTTTTTGCGTCTATAACGTTCATCTCTAATTGGTTGACTACATACCGTGTGCGGGTGTAGAGTTTCAGCTGATTAATATTACTTAGCATTAATTTGGGTACAACGATATCCAAGTTTAATGTGTTTGGTGGGACCCCCGCTATGTGCAAAAATTTTAAAAATTCTTTTGGTATATATTGACTTAAATGAGAAGCCCTCGCTTTTAATGTTGGAGTGAATAGTATAGTTGAGATTGTAGACATCTTGGCTTTTTTACCGTGAGAATAGCTTGCTCAATCAGCCGCCAATGATTCTTATAATTGACTTGGATACTTAGGAAAACTCCGTGATTCAATTATTCTTTTGATGCCACTAAATTACAGAAATTATTGGGGAATGAATTCTTCCTGAAGTACCATCAGTTGGCATTTTGCTGTTCCCTCTTTCCAGTATATGATGAGAACATCGGCTGGCTGGATCATTTTGCAGGTTGGCACGTATATTAACTGCAGAGTCCGTACTAATCACCACAACGTTGAGTATTTTAGATAAGCATTGATCTCATTCCTGATGTTGATCAATGAACGACAGGCAATATTGTTGTGTAAAAATTCTGTCAATCGGTATGAAATGAACATAAGATAATAAAAATAAAATTTTTCTCTTCATTAAAATCCAACAGTCGTTAGGAAGCGGAGTTCAAAAACCGAAAATTACTTCAGCGGTTGGATATTTATATAGTCTGACTATAATTTGCTTCGGTCTCTGCAAAAGAGTCTTGATGGCAAAAGAAAAAATTGACCCACCCAAGAGTCATTGAAAATCATTTGATCAAACTCTTCACACATAAGCCACACTAGTTCTACACTGATGGCATTAAAAAAGTACCCGTAAATGGGTAATAATGGTCCATATATACTTGATTGAAATTAGGTGGAAAGCGCCTGGTTTTACTTGACATTTCCAGCTGCAGCGAAAAAGAGAATCGTGCAAGAAGAATGTTTAGTGTAAAAATTATGAATAAGACAGAAGAAGATTCACAACTAGGCGTGAAGGCTCATTAAGACACCGCTAAGTGCCTTGTAAACGTTCTGATATTGGCTATACCAGCTACTGGTACGTCAGGTGGGCAATTAAGGAAGCGCTCTCCTAGAAATTTCTTTCAAATAGTGTTTAGGCATTTCCTTTCGTCTCTGCAGCTGCGACAAAATTCGAAATTATTCATCTCATTATTCTACCGTTAAGTGCCATTAAACAGTATCCAGTTAGTTTACCGGTTGTTGTATTGATGTTACCAGCCGGTCACCGATCTAGCAACATTAGATTCTATGTTCTTTTAGCGTTCAATACAGGCAAAAGCTATCTGGTGATGGTTTTTTTGGTGAAATCTGAAATCTTTCTCTGTATTTTTTCTTCTCCAAATTCAATCTTCTTTCTTCCTACTGATTTTGGTAGCACTCATTTTGATGGTTTACTTTTTTATTTAACTCAAAATACCTTCGTATTAAACGATTTTGAATCAAGGTTAAGAAAATGTTTTCACCGTATCTCCTAGGAGAAGTTCCAGATTTCTGTGTCAATATTGTTAAAAAAAATTTTGTGTCAGAATCTTGTTGACTCTATGTTGAGATGTTAAGGATCGTATAAGTAGTTCGGCCGAGGAGGAAAGGGGTTAGTTTACGATATAGCCACGCTACCTGGGGGAGCAGGGGAGGGCAAATCTATACTGTTTCCTTCGAATGTATTTCTGACATGAAAATCAAAGCTTCTCAAAAAATAAAAATACATCGGCCATTCGCAGGCAGCTTGGAATAACTGTAGGTCTATCCATCAAACATCAAGGCGAATAATTCATATCGTAGGTCATACCTAATAAATAATTTATTATCTATTACTAAGTATTTATTAAATCAGATGATATTTTAGAGAATAAAATATTTAAATTTAAC